CCACCATGATTCACATTAATTTTCCCATTGCTAAGTTTATAGTTTATATTTGGATGATCAGAGAAATATGTGTGATGTGGGCTGCTGGCAAGCAAATTTTCCTGCTCTCTTTCTTCAGTGTATTTTTTTTCAAACCATTTTATTCCTTCATCTTGTCCAAAAGAAACTCCCCAAGTCTGCAAACCAGCTTAGTCTCCTAGCAGCACTGAAGTCAGATAAATGAGATGGTCTCACAGACATCTCTGTTCATCTGTTCGCCAGACTCAATGGAGACACAGCTCCCATCTTTGACTTGTCTTTGAGGATTAATCACATTTCTCATTCTCTGTGTCTTTTGAAAATATTTTTAATTGGTTCAAGCCAAGACATTCCTGAAGCCTTAGGCCAGTGCATTGCAAATCACTTAATGACATTGCAAAATAGGTCTTAAAAACCCTCTCCTTCCTCTTCCACCCCTCCCTTTGTGCCCCCTCTCCTTTGTTGCCCGCTCCAGCCTCTCTCCTTCCTATCTGTACTTTGACTTTCTGTCCTCAGCACCTCCTTCCTCCAGCCCCTCTCATCTCTTCCCTTCCACTATTCACATCTGGGCACATGCCCCAACCCAACTAAAAGGCAAAAGCAAGATTTGACAACTAATTTGGCATCTGCATAGATTTTTATTTTCCTCCCCATGATAGCTGTTTTTACTTAAATAAAAAAAAAAAAAAGCATTCCTCGCTTTCATCAGAAAGTATATTTGAGTAATTTCATGTCATGTTTCCAATGGCTGTCAGAAGAGGGCTTTGTTTGGAGCCAGAATTATTTGTGCAGTTGGACTGGTAGAAAAAAGAATCCCAAAGACAGAAGACATATTTATCCACTGTACCAGGTTGCAAAGCAAGGAGCAGTACTTGTTCTGCCAGCTCCCTCCCTAAATTCTTTGCAGATCCCAGTGGCCTGGTGTAGGTTGGAAGGGCTGGCAGGGGAGGTGAAGGCCGTGTTGGAAGACACTGCTCTTGTGAATGATGGCAGCCTACAGTGTGTTGTCCTTACCTGTCTTGTCAGTTAGACAAAGAGCTCCCTATAGTTGGGAGCTTTTTCTCCTTTGTGTTTTCTGCAGCGCCTGGTGCTACAGACAATTCTGAGCCCCTGGCTGAAGGAAGGCATCCAATGATGTCTGACGGACACCATGAAGGACACTGCACCGAAAGCCAAATGCAGAATACACTGTCTCAGCTTTGTGAGCTGCAGTTGGCTTTCGCTTTAGTGGTCTCTGTGTCTTTTTACCCACAGGTGAAAAGGTTTAGTCACTTCTCCAAATGCATGGCTTCTGAGAAGTATCCCCAGGCCTTAGTGACCCCAGGCTTTCTTACCTCATGAGCTCCGTCAGCTCCATCTCCATTCTGCCTCTCCATCTTGCCTCCCGTCCTCAGCAAATACTTTTGTAGGTTTCCACTTATAGAGCACTCTATTGAAAGAACTAGCTGTGGGGGCCTGCTGACTTGAGGTTGAGAGTGTGTGTGCGTCTTTGCTCAGCAATGAACCAGTGCAGAGCTAAGCAGAACTGCCACATTGCTGGAGGCCACACCATGTGGCAGTGCCAAAGACCTTCGTCTTCGCATGCTCTACACTCAAGTCCATCTGTGCAGTCATGAGAAAGCGCTTGGTAGCTTTATCTCCTCTATCTATGAGCCATCTCTCTGATGGTGGAACAGGGAAGGACCACGGGGCCAGCTGCCCCAGAGTAACGTTTCTTTAGGGTAGAATCTTCCTGAGCTTTGTCACATCATTCATAGATGCAGCGATCTGCCATAGGGACAAGTTAAGGCTTGGAGGGCGTGAGAGTTGGGGAACAGAATTAGCATTCAGGACAGAAACTTGCTGATGGGCCTGAGGCTGCTGAACCATCTGGGAAGCTCTGCAGGATGAGCTCCATGTGGTGCCCGCAATCTGGTGGATTCTATCCAAACCTCAGCAAATGAGTGCAGGCTTGTCCTCTGATCCCCAAGAACACAGAAGGACAGCCGGGCAGGACCGTATGTGAGAAGTGCCTGCATGGCCAAAACACTAGCATTCTCCTAAGCATTCAGCCCAGTTTTTGGAGAAGGAATGTCAATGCCTGCCACGGCATCCAGCCAAAAGTGCCATCTTACATGACCTTTCACTTCAACAGAGAGAGCTTTGATCCACTTAGCAGACAGGTGGGCTCTGGGAGAAGACTGAATGAGAAAATCCCTTGAAAATGATTGTTAGATGTATGGGTTACATTGGGGCCATTGAGCAGAGACTCTACACACCTTGAATGTGGAAGGTCCCCGAAAATGAGAACAAAGCCTATCATTAAGACATGGCAATTGGTTTTGAAGATGTGTGAATAACACCAAATATTGCAGTTTAATTCATAGCTCTTATTAATAAAGGAATAATGAAAACTGAAAAGTGATGAGAAACTAGTTCAAGGGGATTCAAGATAAAATCTGTCCATTTGTAGTTCAAGCCAAGACATTCCTGAGGTAGAATCCTGGAATCCTGGTGAGGGCAGCCACCCCATGTCCTTCTCAAAGTCTGTTGTGTTTTTTTTCCCAAGAAGAGAATGTGTGTCTGATGTACCCCTTAAGTGTGACAGGAAGCACAGTGCACATCACTTGATGTGTGTTTAAACAAATCCCTGTAATCAGTGATCTGCATACGTGGTGTGTTGAGGACACCTTTTCGCTTTGCAGTTAGAACCTACTGAAGGAACGAGGAATTCCGTATGAAGACTAAAGTGTCATGGGGTTTTCTCAGGAAGCACAAAGTCTGTGACAGATGAATGTCAGTAAACCCAGAGATGCTCTCAAAGACCTGGGGGTAGCTGAGAAGCAACCAGAGTAGCCCTACTGCTCTGACTAAAGTTAACAAGTTTATGAAGAAGACTGAACAGTGTGAGGATGCAAAAGAGGAGGATGAGGCAAGATTGAAGCTGAAAAGCATCCCTCTGATGGACTGCTCAAACACAGCAGCCAACAGGCAAGGACAGGTGTCCTGTCCAGCCGTTTCCCGTGAAACCTGAGGCCAGCCGTCTGTAGTAGAGGCTTGCTGACCCCATTTGTGACAGAAGAGTCCTCCTTACCCCAATGAGGCGCTGCTGGGAGCCCAGGGACTCAGCCAGGAAACTGCCTTTGCAGAGCCAGGGGCCTGGGAACAGGCTGCTTTCCTTCACATGCAGCCAACTGGATCTCCTCTGCGGCTGCCCCTCTGATGACTGATTAGGCTGTTATTGATCACTAAGTCTCTGCTCCTCTGGCCTCCTTCCTGCCCCCTCTCTCCCAAAAACCCACTCGGCGAGGGGGGCTCTCTGAGTTTTAGGACATTCATCACTTCATTACTCTGCCTTTGATCCTCTCCTGAAGCTTGAGTTTTACTCCAGCAGCCAAATTGAGTGTTTGTCTAGTAAAGCAACAGCTAAAGCTTAAGCTTAGGAGGCACAGGGGGAGGAGAAAAGACCCAGGACCGAAATACTGCTTGTTTTGAAGCCAGGAAGCCTTCTGCCAGTTGGCCATCACGGGGAGCTGGATGCCCAGCTGGGTGTCCCAGGTCCAGCCCGCACGGGGCTGCTGTGCACATGTTGGCATCGGAACAGAAGGGCTGACCAGTGCCCAACTTCTGCCTCCCTCCACCACTAACAGCCTCTGTCTCCACCCCAACAGCTGTCAGAAGGCGCAGCAGGTGCCAAGAGGGGCTTAAGGAGGCCCTGTGTTTTCTAGCACAGGATCAGTGAGGTGGGTGCCTGGCTGAGTACAAGATCCAGGCCTGGATAAGCCCAAACTGGAGCCCGGGGCCATTGAGATGGAGATGACATTCTGGTGCCAGACTCCTTTCAGTTGCTCACATCTTTCTTGCAAAATGATCTGCTAAGTTTGTTTTTGCTGGAGGCAAATTTCCTTGGAATGAGGTAAAGAAAGAAGATAGCGGTGGGGGGCTTGGTGGAGTAGTTTTGGATTTATCAGACCATGGAAGAGAGTACTTCTCAGTGCCTGAGGGATTTTCCAGATACCCTGAGCTCACAGGCACTCAGAGCTTGCTTTGTGGGGAGCCTCCTGACTTGGCAGGTACAGGCACACTGGCCTGAAGGAGGATTAAGGCCTTTGCATTTTTTGAGTGAATTGCTTTCAAAAAGCAGGGTTACCAATACTGAGCTAGAATACATTGAGCTCAAGCAATCCCCTTCCCATAGTTCAAATCTTCCTCTTCTCAGAGAGAAAACTTATTAGCTGCTTTGGCTGCAAGCCTCAGCCAGAACTGGTCTATATAATTTGCAAAGTCCGGGCAAATATAGAACCCTTGTTCAAACATGATTCAAGAAATGTTAGTAAGAGCCAAGTATAGCGGCACGTGCATTTGATCTCAGCACTCTGAGAGACTGAGGCGGGATTGTGAGATCAAGGCCAGCCTGCGTAAATTGGTGATTTAGGGCGACCGTTTTAAAATAAAAATATGTCTAAAAATGGGAAGCTAGAAATGGAGCTCAGTGGAAAGTCCTGGGTTCAATCTTCAGTTTTTCCAAGATAGGAAGGAAGAAAAGAAGTCAGAGAGGGAGGAGGGAGGTAAAGAAAGGAAGAGAGAAAGAGAAAGAAAGAGAAGCCTTTACTTTCGTTGTGCTCTTTTGTGTCAGTTAGCTGAGCCTCCTGACAGCGGCGCTCCCTCAGTTGTGCTGGGACCACACCCATGTCCTGGGCAGACAGGCAGGGCCAGCGCTCCCTCAAGGCTCAGTGTCGGAGAAGCAGCCGATCCACGGGGGGAATTCTCTGCACTTCTCCCAGTTCCTGTCTCATTCATACAGCAAGCTGAACCCCATGCAGTGTGGGCCACACATTTCATCCTTAGAAGCAGGACACTAAGAATGGACTCAGCATCTCTGACAGCCCTCAGTGTAAGGTTCTGCAGCTGTTTCTTGTGACTGACAGTAGCTGTCTATCTGGAAGGGTAGCACTCTTGTTCTCCATCGAGGCACAATTGGCATCACCGACTTCTCTCCACAGACCTCCAGGATTTCAAATTAGATGTGCAGCATGTGATCGAAGTGGATGAGGGGAACACAGCTGTCATTGCTTGTCACCTGCCTGAGAGTCACCCAAAAGCCCAGGTCCGGTACAGCGTCAAGCAAGAGTGGCTGGAGGCCTCCAGAGGTGAGTGAGTGAGGGGGTGAGCAGGAGCCACGTGATCCAGAGACAGCCAGAAGAATGGTGGGGAAGGGGTCCCTCAAGATGAAGACAGCTTCTTTCCACAACTTACCTGTTCCTCGAGGGCAAGTCTGCCAGGCTTTACCCAAACTCAAGTTGATCAAAATGTGTATGTTTTAAAATATCTTGTAGATTTTCTAGTTAGGAAAGGAATGTATATATATAATCCTTCCACTAAGAAAGGACTGGAGACTGAGAGCAGAAGAGCATTAATCCCTGTGTCCCCAGCAGGGGTTTGGCAGCATCCCCTGGCAGAGGCTCTGCTCCATCTGCCACCTCCACGCCAGCTGCCTGAGCAGCTCACACCCGGGTGGCCCAGCACCAGGCTTGGTAACACCATGATTCCCAAGAGAAGCCTCCAGACAGAGCTCATAGTTGATGGCCACTGCTTTGCCTGCCATGAAGCTGAAGGCCACCCGACTCGCTGGGCTGTCCTTAAATTGCAAATCTGCTCCCTGCCTAGAGAATCTGAATACATGCTCAAACCCCACCTTACACTCGCCTGGAATGGAACAGACAAAGCAATGTGCAGGAAAGGAGTTCCGGTGGCCTTCATGGATAGGACAGTGGCTGGAAGATAGACTATTCCTTGCCTCTTCTGTGACAGACAGTCAACAGTGAGATGGCTCAGAACAGGGACTATGACAAAGATTGATAGAAAGTTCCAAAGTCAATTCCTTTCCTTCTGGCGATTTTCAAGAATGATCATCTGTCTTCCATAATTACAGCATGGGCTTCTCAGTCCTTACAGTGGCAATATACATTGTGCCTTTTTAAAAGATAAACATACAAGACCCAAAGGTTAATAAACCTGATCAAGATCACACAGTTTGTATCCAGCCCACCCAAAGCTTGAAGCCAGGTCTGGTTGACCCTAACCTCAGTGTCCTTTCTACCCTTTAACTCCCTTGAAAGTATGAAATGTTCTTCTAAGATATGCTCACCCGCAGGCAGTTACCCAGTTCATTAGCAATTGGTTGATAAGTCTCTCACTCTGACATTTCTGTCCTACTTGGCTCAAGGTTTATGAAGAGAATCACATTTTAGGCTTGGGCTGGTCATAGCTGCCTTGCAAGAGTTGTGGAGTACAGTAATCTGGGTTCGGTTTCTCCCATCTTCCCTTTTCTCTGCTCTTTCCACAGACAACTACCTGATCATGCCATCAGGGAACCTGCAGATTGTCAATGCCAGCCAAGAGGATGAGGGCATGTACAAGTGTGCTGCCTACAACCCAGTGACCCAGGAAGTAAAAACCTCTGGCTCCAGTGATAGGCTGCGTGTGCGCCGTAAGGGCCAGGCTCACCTGCTGGGGTGGGCTACTGTGATGAAGAGGCCAGCAAAGCTGGGCAGGGAGGTGGGAACCTGGGGGCCACAGAGCCAGCTGTAGTTCTTCATGCTTGGGTGTGTTGGGGAGGCAGTGAGGCTTGGGCCAGCAGATGTCTGGCACTCAGTGAGGGCAGACCAGCAGTGCCAGCCTGTCACAGCACAGGCTCCTTGGAGCTGTCTCAGGAGCATGTGGGGCTTGCTGGTCACAGAAGAGCACTGTAGGGAGCATCCTGCATTGCCCATGTGGGTATCCTCCATGCTACCTGCCCCCTGAGTGATGCCCAAAACCACCCTTTGCTGAAAGCTCGCAAAGGCCCACAGCCTCCCCCATTAGTATGAAAATAACAACCGCCTTTTCTGAGCACTTCCCTCTGGTCCTCGGAGTGACATGGAACATGAAACTAGTCTTAGAGTCAGTATTAGAATTGGCTTTTTCCCCAGGCTAATGAAACTAAGCTTCGGTGTCCATCTCCAACCTAATTTTCATCAATTCTTTTCGTTAAGGCGAGTCTACCAAGCTTCAAAGTTTCAGGGTTTGCAAAAACCCTGAATTTGTCAGGCATGGTAGCACATGCCTGTAATCCCAGCACTTGGGAGGCTGAGATTGGACGATTCCCTAGAGTTCAAGGCCAACCTGAGCTACTCATCGAGTTCTAGACCAGCCTGAACTACATAGCAAGACCCAGTCTTGAAAAGCTGTAAATAAATAACTAAATAAATAAATAAAACCTGGTACTGCCCTTAGTTGGCAGATAAATCAAAAATTACACAATCCACAGACTCCTTGAAGGTCTCCTAGGAAGACACTGTTTTGGGGAGCAACATTCCCTTCAGTGTGTTCTATTCATTTTCACCCCAATGACACCTGCTGATGTCACTGATTTGCATTTAGGGACTTTGCAGTATGAAAAATTTTGCGGCCTCACTCAGCTCAGCAGGATGTTCACTCCATGGAGGATACTTGGAGTTGGGGCTTAGGTGATTCTTTCTCAGCCTCAGCAGACACTGAATTCAGAAAGGAGAAATCACCTGCACTGTTTAAATCATTTCCCATCTCTTTCTGACACTACTGGGCATTCATTGTACCAAAGTTATATTCTCTCCAAAAGGAAGCCCTTGTTTCTAATAAGAAATTAAACAACTTGCCCACTTTTACACAGGGTGCAAGCCTCTGACAGACTATTTGTTCCCCAATTTCTGCTCTCTGGGACCTTCTGGGGCTGGGTCACCTGAGGCAGGATGGCAGGGACTCCCTGCACAAGCACAGATCATATACACTGTCTCTCATCTTTCCACTTCTCCAGGCTCCACAGCTGAGGCTGCCCGCATTATTTATCCCCTGGAAGCCCAGACCGTCATTGTCACCAAAGGCCAGAGTCTTATCCTGGAGTGTGTGGCCAGTGGGATACCACCCCCTCAAGTCACCTGGGCCAAGGATGGGTCCAGTGTCACCGGCTACAACAAGACACGCTTCTTACTGAGCAACCTGCTTATTGACACTGCCAGCGAGGAAGACTCAGGCACCTACCGCTGCATGGCCAGCAATGGGGTCGGGGAGCCGGGAGCAGCAGTCATCCTGTACAACGTGCAGGTGTTTGGTGAGCATCTGCCCAGCCTTCCCCCTGGTCTGTGTGGCCTTTGAGCAGTATCTTGTGAAAGGTCAAGGCCAAACAGCAGTAGTGGTTCACTGGAAGTCAGGAATTACTGGAGGCCAGGGCAAGGCCCAAGGCCCGGTGCCCTCTTTAGTTCCTTTTGTCATGACTGGAGGAAGAGATCAGGGATGTTTAAGAAAGACGAGCAACCAGATGGAGGAGAGAGCCACTCCCAGCCATGTCCCTCCCAGCCTGTCTGTCCCTGGGAAGGGAACATGCAGCCAAACCATTCCTGCTCTTGTTTTCCCACAGAGCCCCCCGAGGTCACCGTGGAGCTGTCCCAGTTGGTCATCCCATGGGGTCAGAGTGCTAAGCTCACCTGTGAGGTGCGCGGGAACCCTCCACCCTCAGTGCTGTGGCTGAGGAATGCCATGCCCCTCACCTCCAACCAGCGCCTGCGGCTGTCCCGCCAAGCCTTGCGTGTGGTCAGCGTGGGGCCGGAGGATGAAGGTGTCTACCAGTGCATGGCGGAGAACGAGGTTGGGAGCGCCCACGCGGTGGTCCATCTTAGGACTGCCAGGCCAGGTGAGCAGCCCCTGGGCTGATTCTGGCCAACGTGCATATGAAATGTTTTTTCAATTTCTCAGTTGAAATTCAGCCTAGAAACCCAGTATGTGAAATAGATAAAAGTGCCTTTAAATGAAAATTCAAAGGTACATTAACTTAATAAGTCAGGTATACAAATTTGGGAGCTTCTAGGACTCCATGGAACCAAATTTGGCCCTCACTGCTTTATGGGTAAGAGAAGAGGTTCTGTCCTTGGCTTGATTCATTCCAGTTGTCATCTAGAGTGACTGAGTAGGTCCTGGGTGCTCCGCATGGGGCTGGGTAATACAGGGGCTGCAGAGCAACGCCATGTAGGCCTGCCTGCAATAACTCCTGCAGAGGGAACAGAAGTGACTGAGGAAAGGATTTGAAAACCAGTGAGAACAATACCGGGCCAGTGTCTTGTGTTGGGGAAGTCAAGTGGAGCAGAAACTAGTGCTGGCAGCCTGTGGAAGCTTCCGGAAGGACCTGTTTCCTCTCTTGGTTCTCAGAAGGTATTCACAGTTGGCTTCACGTCCCAAGTCACCTCTGGAGAAGGAAAAGGCTGTTAAAATTCCACAGTGAGAGGCCGAGGTGTGACCCAGTGGAAGAGCATTTGCCTAGCATGTGTGAGGCCCTGTTTCAAGAGCTATGACTGAAAAAAAAAAAAAAATGCCCCAGTGAAGGGACATGCCCTCATCTTTGGTCCCCAGCGTAGACACTAGCAGAAGGTGCACGATCCCTATTGGGACAGTGTTGAGTTGAGATGATTTCTGCGCACTGTCTCCCACCTAAGATTCCAGAAGTCCAGAGATGCTTGTCTGCCATCCTGGGGGGCACAAGAGGCCTGGGCCAAGTGGCCAGGCTGCCTTACCTTTCTGGCAGGACAAAGACACTGTGCCTCTTTTCCAGAGCTGACTGTGTCATGGAGCCTCAGGTCTTCTCTGACTTGTTTGGAGTTTTCTCCCTGGCAGGTAACCCATGGGGCACTAAACTCTCTGCTTCCTCTCACTTTCCCACTTGGTCCCCAGGCACAACCCTGAAGCCCTGGCAGGATGCTAAGCCGGCCACTGCCACACCTCACGTGCCACCCTCTAGACCCAGCAGCCCTAACCAGAAGCTGAGGGAGCGACCAGGGCTCACCAGGCTCCCAGCGTCAATGCAGCCTCATTCTCCACAATGCCCAGGAGAAAAGGGCCAGGTGGCTCCCGCCGAGGCCCCCATCATCCTCAGCTCACCCCGGACCTCTAAGACTGACTCCTATGAGCTAGTGTGGCGGCCTCGGCACGAGGGCGGCAACCGAGCACCCATCCTCTACTACCTGGTGAAGCACCGCAAGGTATGGCTGGTGTCTCAAGGTATGAGGCATGGTCACCTCCTCCTGTCTCCCCGAAGCTTCAGAATCTGCCCCCACTGCTCCCCACTGCTAGTCCTACCCTCTGTCTCTTCTGAAACCTGTCCATACCACCTTCCAGCAGGCTGGCTTCAAGAGAGACAGGTGGACACCAAAAGCCCCAGGCAAAAGTCCTCAGGCCTAAGGTCTGTGTACCCATCCCCAAAAACCCCTTTCAGCATCTAGTCTAGGACAGTTAACAGGCTTATCTGACAGTACCCTCCCCTTTTTCCTCCATTATTTTTGTTGATTTTTGTTTTGTTTTGTTGTTTTTTTCTTTCGTTTTGTTGTTGTTTCTTTGTTTTTCGTCTTTTTCCTTTTTATCGGTACCGGGGATCGAACTCACGACTGCCTGCTTGCAAGGCAGGCGCTTATGCCACTGAGCTAAATCCCCAGCCCCTTGTTTTGTTTTTTAACTGAAGTAAGCTATGCTAGGTACATACTTGCAGAAATTCTAGCGTGGCGAGCTAGCTCTAAAGCCAGGAAAACAAATATTTGTGAACAAGTGTTTTCTCTGAGGGCTATAAAATGCCTCTCAGTTCTCACAGTCCATCGTGGCCGGGGCTTGACAAGCAGGCATTTGCACTGCAAGCTTATGATGTTGTTCAGACCTCAACTATTTCTCCTGACAAAAAGGAGTCTGTCCAGGGGCTGTCGTGGGAGCTCTCAGGGAGGGAATCTCAGGCTGCTGCAAGATGAAGGGACAGAGAAGAGCCACCAGGCCTACTGGACACTGTGTCCCCTGTGTCAGAATAAGGCCTCTGGGCCGCTCCCTAGACAGAGCTCTAGGCTGTGCAGGGGGGGGGGAAATCTCCTGTAAGAAAACAACTTGAAATCATTTGTGTTTGCCCTGAGTAGTGCTATTTTCTTTTCAAGGCCATTGGATAGTAGAAATTTTGTTCCCAAATGGATTTTTAAAACATTTTAATGGCTAATAGCCATTAAATCCTAATATCATAAATGCTAAGTTTTTAGTAAGCATTTACATTATTTTGCTTACAAAAAGTACCATATGCACTTGGTAGAAAATTTATGTACGTGGAACTAAAAATATTTATCTACTTTTGCTTTTTCCAAAAACAAACAAAACTACCTCCTTACCATGGTAAGCATCAGTGCACAGAGCAGCCTCCCTGCTGTGGACCTTATAGGGCTCTTGCATTCTGTCCTTTTCTTTCCCTTCTCACCCTTCTGCAAGAGCTGGGGACAGGACAAGTGCAGCCAGGATCAGAAAACCCTCCAGAGCAGAGCGACCCACTCTGTGTGCCGCCCCTACCCTAAGCAGCGCCAGCAAAGCAGTGAAGGCATTTGTAACAAGCAGCAGCCTTGTTCAGCATGAGTTCCGGGCCGGACTGGTCCCATCCTTATTTCCCCCTGTAATTGGATACCTCTATCTGAGTTGTAGACAAAGATCAGGGAAACAAGCACCCATGAGAGGGACAAAAGCCAACACAAGAGCAAGAATAATATTTTTCAGGCCAATAGGTGGCCATGAACTGCCTCAAACAAGAATTAGGCTGGCAAAAGCCATTCCGTGGTGATCCGGAAATGCCAGGCTGAGGCCACATTCACCCTCTCAGTGTGTGTGACAGTGACTAATTACCCATGCATTTCTTATTTTCATTTCTGGACCCAGTGGAAAAGTGGCACCAGCACTGGGAGGCTGGGGGATGAAGGGGGTGGGGAAAATGAGGTCTGGACAGGGCCCCTGCTGGGCTCGACTCCTATTAGCTCCAGCTTGGAGGCACTTGGAATTTTTAGGTGGAGTTTCAGGTGGACGTTGCCAAGGCAAAAGCTGTTCTGCTTGTGGAACTAACATACATTGTCATCCAAGAATTTTCAATCAGAAGTCAGCTTTTGAGTTGTTTTTTTTTTCATATCCCTTGTCTTTGGGGGGATTCTGCATCATTGGCTTTTTAACTTGCACAAAGCAAGTTTCATTTCCTAGTACATCTGCAGATTCTGGGCTACTGTGTTTGGGTTTCCAGCACCACTGTGGATTCTCAGTTTGTAGAAACTTCTCCCCTTGGAACCAGTCCTGGAAGCCTAATGAGTCCAGGCTGTCCCTGTCACTTCAATGGTAGGTTTTGTTCTCCTCTGGAATAATCTGCTTAGGGATAAGAGCTTTCCCTCCCAGCTGCTCTCTGCCTGCAGAAGCCCTAGCTTCGGTTCCGCAGGGTCTGAGAGGCACAGATCTGGTCCTTGTCCTGAAGGTAGTAAGTGACAGAAAGTTGTCACACTGTCACCATTGGAAGCCAGAAGTGTGCTTGCTTTTTTGTTTAGATTTAGAGAACGACCCATTAAAAATTCATTTTAATAGTTACAACTCAACAGCGGTTTTTATGTTCTGAGCACAGACCGAGGGCAGCAGCAGCCGATGGAAATGCAGGGGCCTCCCTGGGTGAGGATGTGGCATAGCTGGGGGCAGGGGGGTCCTGTGCGGGAGCCTCCCGGTACCGAGCTTCATATAAATTGTGCAATTTAACTTCAGACTCCCCTGAGAGATGTTACTTGCCTCATTTTAGAAATGAAATAGGGAGCTTGCTCTAAGCTACACAACTCAGCACTTCCTGCTCCCAGACTTCTTTCTAGGACAGATTACACTGTCAGGGTTTCTGTGCTCCCCGTCCCCAAGCTGAGTCTGTACATTTGTGAAATGGAAACAGCGCTGACGCCAGTCACTGGCTCCAATGTGAAGACAAATGAGGTTGGACAGATACAGCACTCCATTCGTGCCTCAGTCATATTGATGCTCAAAACACATGGCTGTTGGTACTGATTCTGTTTTTGTCATCACTCGCAGCATCATCTCTTGTTAGAATGTGTATTGAAAGGATGTGTTCAGTTCAAGGACAACAAAGAGGGAGAAAATTAGGTACGCAGGTTTGTGAAGTATTCAGGGAGGAAGTCATTGTGATTTCCTAGCGATATCAGTCAGGCCTTCTGAAGTTTATTCCTTGAAATCAGGAAATCTGTCCTGACCATCCTGGTGGGTTTGGTATCCCGCTGCTGAGCTCTGCAGCACCCTCGCTGGCCCATTTTCCTTCCCCTCTTGCTCCAAGGCTCTGCTTTTCTGCCATCTACTACCCACCTATTGCACTGGATAGAGGTGCTGTTTCTTACACCAGGCACCTTCTCCAGCAGGTCTTAAATTCTTCTGAAGACTGGACCATCTCTGGCATTCCAGCCAACCAGCACCGCCTAACCCTCACCAGACTGGAGCCTGGCAGCTTGTATGAAGTAGAGATGGCAGCATACAACTGCGCTGGCGAGGGCCAGACTGCAATGGTCACCTTCCGAACTGGTAAAGTCAAGCATTGTGCCCAGCTTGTGGTTTCTGTGGGTCCAAGCAAGTTATAGCTGGTACAGGGAGGAAACCTGTTTACTTGGCCCCTGCTCTTCACCTAATACTGCATTCCTCCTCCTAACACAACCCTCCTTTGTAGTTTGTGTGTCCAAGCTAGGTCAGCCTCTCTCAACCCTTTGGCCCATTCTTACCCCAGGGCTAGCAGCAACCCCATAGCAGAGTGGTCAGAGCAGGGAATCTGACCACACTTCACTGTTCTGTGTTGTTACTTACATCACTTGTCTTAGCACTTGGAAGATTCTCAGGCAAAAAGGTCTCTGTGGAAAGGGGCTGTAATGTGCATGTCCTTCCTTGCTGATCGCAATCCATTTTCACCCAGGACGACGACCCAAGCCTGAGATCGTGGCCAGCAAGGAGCAACAGATTCAGAGAGATGACCCTGGCGCTGGCCCCCAAAGCAGCATCCAGCCAGACCACAGCCGCCTGTCTCGTAAGTGCCAAGCCATAGTGAGGGCCAGGGTCATGGACAGTCAGGACTGCAACTCTTCTGCAGGCCTGTTCCTACAGACGGCATGAGGTTTGGGTTCCATTCTTCCAGGAGCACTAGTGACGTTTTCTTGGCCTTGCCGGATTAATGAGAAAGTATAGTTTGGAGCTTCTCAAATAGGAGTGGAGTCTGAGCCTGGAATTACTTGTTGGTCCCAGAGTAGCTGTCTTGTTGGTCCCAGAAGTGTCTTCACTCCTGGTAGAAGGATCTGATGCAGAATGCAAAGCCCCAGGTGGGGATGAGGGAGCTAAGGCCTAGGTCCTCCTAGAACCCTGCACTCTCTGGTGACGTCCCCTTCTCCTGTTTCCTTCCTTACCGTGTCTGGTCCACGCAGCCCCAGAAGCTCCAGACAGGCCCACGATCTCAATGGCCACTGAAACCTCAGTGTATGTGACCTGGATTCCTCGTGGGAATGGCGGCTTCCCGATCCAGTCCTTCCGTGTAGAGTACAAAAAACTAAAGAAAGTGGGAGACTGGATTCTGGCCACCAACGCCATCCCTCCCTCGAGGCTCTCCGTGGAGATCACAGGCCTAGAGAAAGGTAGGGGCCTGGCCACTCTGCTGCTTGATCCCCGGGCTGCCCCTGGGCTCTTCTTGCTCCTTGGTCCTCCACCAGCCAGCATGCTCACCCCAATGCAGTTACCTGCCTCAGCCTCACTCCCTAAGACGGGGCAGAGCCATTTTTGCATGCTGCTGCTCTCTGATCACAAGCTTTCTTGAACTTGTTATGGGGGAAGGGCTCCAAAGATGATTCCTTCCAGGCTGGGTCTTGATGAGGTGTTAAGAAATCGAAAAGCGTTTCCTGAGTTCAGTGAGGGTCTCTCTCACCAGGCACTTCCTACAAGTTCCGAGTCCGAGCTCTGAACATGTTGGGGGAGAGTGAGCCCAGCGCCCCCTCCCGGCCTTACATGGTGTCAGGTTACAGTGGTCGAATGTATGAGAGGCCAGTGGCGGGCCCTTACATCACCTTCACAGACGCAGTCAATGAGACCACCATCATGCTCAAGTGGATGGTAAGAGGCCTCCCTGCAACAGCCATGGGAGGAGGGGCTGGGATTCCTGGTGGGTGGGAGCTGGCTGCTCCTCTTAGGTGCAGGAACTGATCACTTCCCCGCCTCTGCCTCTGCCCTTTTCCTTCCTGTGTGTTCTACCTGTGTAGTCTAGCTGCTGAGACCTGGACTCCCCACACAAGCACCTAAATAAACATGAGCTTAAGACAGTTATAGGAGCTGGAGCTGCCGTTAGTGGGCTCCTGTTTGTTGTGATGCCTTGACTAGTAGACCAAGCCGGTTTTCATTTCCAGGTTACATCCCACCGTCCTTCCTGGCCTTCTAGCCCGATACACTCACCTTTATGTGCACAGGAAGGTCCAGAAGGAATGAAAGTCTTTGAAGAAATGCAGTTTTGTCCTTGTTTCCAAAAGCTTGGGGACCTCTAGCTTAAATAACTAATGATGTCCATAGCGCTCTTCCCAAAATCTCAGAGGTATCATCAAGAATGTTTGCTGGGGCCCTAATGAAATTCATATTCTAGACTAAGGCAGTGTCTCCACACCCCAAAAATTTTGCTTTAGTGATGATTTCTCTGCTCTACTACCAACATCTCTTCTCCATCCCCTGTAGTATATCCCAGCAAGCAACAACAACACACCAATCCATGGTTTTTATATCTACTACCGACCCACAGACAGTGACAACGACAGTGACTACAAGAAAGATATGGTGGAAGGTGAGAGACACTGTAGTGTGGTATAGCTAGCTCCCTCTGCTGGCACGGAGGTCAGTGTCAGTGAAATCTGGAGAAGCATAAACCCTGGGCTGGATCTGGTATGTTACAAAGCATCTGCGCTCCATGTCATTGACTCAGTCATAACGTACCTGCGCCACCCAGTTAAGCCCACATACTTCCTTCCCATGAGGATCGGACAGCAGGAATGTGAGTGGGTGGTTAAAATATTTTCTCCAATGTGTCCCTACCGTGTCACCTCCCCCATGCCACTCAATGATGCCAGCCAAGACACAAAGCCCTGCTTGAGTCTGGATCTGTGATTGGGATCAAGGAAACAGCACCCACCTAACCATGCCTGGTTCTTGCTGCCTTTCCCAGGGGATAGGTACTGGCACTCTATCAGCCACCTGCAACCAGAGACTTCTTATGACATCAAGATGCAGTGTTTCAACGAAGGAGGGGAGAGCGAGTTCAGCAACGTGATGATCTGTGAGACCAAAGGTGATCCTCTCTTTCCTTGCTGCTTTCAGCAAAGTAAGGCAAAGTCACTATTGTATGCCACTCCCGCATCTGTTTCCCGAGAAGACTGTATTTTCCAACTGTCCCCATCCATCATCACCTTTCATTCTCACTTGTGGCTCATGTAATTTGAGTGATTCACTATCAGGATGGCTTCAAGGAGCTTCTCCATGAACTCAGTAGGAATAGCATCAATTGTTAAGCTGGGAACTTTCAATGAGTGCTTTATTTTCAAACACTTGACACTTAACTTTGGTTGTTTTATTTAACTACAACTTCATGAGTCAGGGAAGAGTTGAGCCTCAGAAAACAGTACATCTCAGCCAAAGTTGCACAGCCAGTAAGTGGGAGAGTACACTGGCCCAGGTTCATCTAACTACAAGCCCAGGTTCTTTCTCTGCGCTAAAACGTTAACTGTATTCACATTAGAACTTGTTAATACTTATTTGCACACTTGTTGAGTGGGTAGATATCATTAGCTCCATTCACTACTGAAAGTGAGATAAAGCCAGGTGTATTGCAAAGGAGATCACACAGGAACTGGGACGGAGGTAAAATGACATGTTTCTCTGCCAGTGCGACAACACCGTGCCGTCTCCCTCTTGGCACTGCTCAGTCCCTTCTCACGGATACCGAGAGCCTCCTGTGTACCGTACTTGCTGCACTCATCCTCCAGGCAGGGGGCAGATGGCAGGGAAGAGGGCAGAAGGAAAAGAGAAGTGTAAAACACAGCAGTCACGGTGACAGAGGAAGCTCAGAGGACTGTGCCTCAGGAAGCTGAGGAGGAAGGCAGGGGTGGAGAAGTTAGCGGTGCCAGACACACCTGTGGCAGAAAACCCAGGTGCTCCTCACTTCCCGCCTTGTAGGTGGCATTTCCCAATTACTGTTCGTCTCACTGAGTCCCAGAACACCCCTGCTCCGTCCCCCACTCTAACACGTAGTACTCCACATCCCATAAGCTAAGAATAGCAAATTTAGGGGTAAATGCTTCCATTCCCATTCATTTGCTGTTCTTTGTCGTTCTAAATATTTTCTTCCCAAAGTTCACCAGTTATTCTTTCAAGAAACACTACCCCAGTGCGCCCCAGTGCTTGGCTCACATACACACACAAAATGTATTTTACACTATAAAGTTCAGATCTCAACAACACCAGATTTCACATTGGATGCCAAGTTCAATCTGAGTATAAGACTCGGGTCACACAAGGGATTTTGAAGCCCCATCTTGTGAGTTTGACCCCCATTTGCTATATCCTTAGAATTGGAATACTGTATTTTCTTTTTTGGCTTGTAAAGAAGATATCAAAGAAGCAGATGCTGATGCATGTTTTGTCCCTAACTGCAGCTCGGAAATCTGGTCAGCCTGGTCGACTCCCACCTCCAACTCTGGCCGCCCCTCAGCCCCCACCCCCAGAAACCATGGAGCGACCAGTCGGCACTGGGGCCATGGTGGCACGTGCCAGCGACCTGCCCTATCTGATTGTTGGAGTCGTCCTGGGCTCGATTGTTCTCATCATCGTTACCTTCATCCCCTTCTGCCTGTGGAGGGCCTGGTCTAAGCAAAGTGAGTAACCTGCTCAGCACAGCGAGGAAGGCGGCTGGAAGTGAGGAAGGCTGCCCAGCCCCGAAGGGGGTCTCTGCCCAGCACAGGGCCAGGAGTGCCTGCTCCGTATCCACTAGCAGCTCAAGTTCCTGGGTCCCCCAAGGGCCCAGAGAGTTAGAGACAACACCAAGCCTGGGCCCTTGTGCCCTAACTCTACACACACCTTAGCTGATGGGAGTGCGAAGTATTTCCTGCCTCTTCTCTGGGCACAGGGCTGCCTGGAACCTTTCTCTTATCTTGGGTTAGTCTGATTTCTCCACTAGTTTCTGCTTCAAATGACAAGCTACTTCCCTCATCTAAATAGTGCCCCTTGTCACCAACTACCTCTTTACCCCAAACCTCTGCCCCTGTGTCTCCCCATCCTTCTCACTGCAGAAAAAGGACACACGTTAGAAAGAGGTGGCAGTTAAGAAACAGAGAAAATACTCTCCACCTGTTGGATATGTCATCTGCCTGTCTACGTCCTGACCTTATGTGGTTGAGAGTGGGGCTTTTCCAGCTGCCCTAAGCTTCCTTGACCTAAGCAAACCCCTGTCCTTCTGTTTTTCCAGAACATACAACAGATGTGGGATTCCCTCGAAGTGCCCTTGTGTCATCCTCTTGTCAGTACACGATGGTGCCACTGGGAGGAGTCCCGGACCACCGAGCCGGTGGACAGCCCTACCTCAGTGGCATCCCCGGACGGGCCTATGCCAATGGGCTGAGCAGGGGCTGCCCTGTGGCTGCAGGGGGCTACCCAGGCATGAAGCCCCGGCAGCACTGCCGAGGGGAGCTGCAGCAGGTAGTGTACTCCTGGGCGTGCGGGCAGCGGGATGGGGACAGGGCAGGGGGAGGCTATCCCTCCCGCTTCTCCTTTCTGGCTTCTCATCCCAGCTGCGGGGCCAGGCTTTCCTCGGCAACAGCTCCTCCTACTGAACAGTCAAGGCTGGCAAGTTCCCTAGGCCCTTTGACATGACCTTTACTCTTTCTTTTGAGTAGCAGGGTGACACCAACAGCCTGCTGAGGCAGACCATTCTTGACAAGGGCTATGATCCCCAAAGCCAGGAGGTTACCAGGTAACTGAGCCTGTCCCCAGCTCTCCTTTTGTCCTCAAGATCCAGAGCTGAGCAAGCGCTTCACTCAGAGACCCCCATCTCTGTCCACTCTGTTCCCTGGGACCATTGGGTGTGTTTGTGGGTACAGTTCCCTTTCTGCTTGGGGCCATGGATTGCTTTTCAGAATCCCTCCCTCCTAGGTAGACCAGAAATACCAACTCAGGCTCCTGGACACCCGTTGACACCTTCCCACACAGACTAACATGGGAATGGGCTAGAACCATCAGTGGGGATGAAGATTTGTAGTGCCCTTGGTGTCCAAAGGTAGCGGTCATTGTCCCATCTAAGCTCTGACCAGCTATAATAACCTCAGACGGGGAAGCTGCCAGGAAAGGGTGACAGTCCAGGCCTCCTCTGCTCCTCCCTTACTTCCCGGTCTGGTCCTGTTTAATGCAGAGATCGCAAGTCTAGCCTGGATGAGGGCTCATTCTTATACACACTGCCTGATGACTCTACTCACCAGCTGCTCCAACCCAAAGACCCCCACCACTTCCAAGAGCAGCCTGCAGCCGTCACCCAGTCAGTACAGAGGAGAGCAGCTGACAACCCTAAGCTGAATGCTGTCTGGGACCCTCCGTTCCACTCAGGTTAGCCAGGTTGGGGGAGCAGAGTAAGATGCTTGGGGGTGACCTGAGGTAGGCACCCAGAACCTGAGAGTAGCTTTGGGGAGGGAGAGACAAGGCTTAAGGCGCTGTTTGGCAAGGACAGGGCAGTAAGGGTGGGAGGCCACTGCCCTTCACTACAGAGCCCAGAGGGGTCTGCCCAGCTCCAACGCTGCTGCCTGTGGTCCTCAGAGGCCCAGGATACGTCTCCATGTCAGACGAAGGAGCCCATTTGGCCTCTGCATTTCAAGGCTCCCAATTTTTTTTGCCTCTCATCACATGAAGGCATCTCTAATCACTTACTTTGTTGGATCTTGTCTCTTAATTAAAGAAGTTGCATCAACCATTAAAGTGCCAAGTTTTTGGAAACATTCCTTGTAACTCTGTGTTTGCACAGAGCTTTTTCTCCTGGGGTCTCGGAAGTCATTTGCTCCACTCCCACTCCACTGTCTCCCTCTGGCCAGCTTCCTTGGAAATCTTGGGGTGCGCGCTAAGGCATAGGCTAGTTTGGAGGACTGGCCTACGTTTCTTAACCTCCGCAGTGTGAATGTCCCTTCACATGCGGTTCTGGACCCTGTCTCTGGGATGTTAAATTCTGAAAGCAGTTACCTCCTAGGGTCAGATCCAGTGACAGGAAAGCTGGATAGGCTGAACTGGGGGGAAGGCCCTGTGAGTGGGAAGCTTCTGACCACAAGCCACAGCAAAGGAAGGAAGGACTGGCGGCCCTCGTCTGGGAAAGAGATGAGCTTCTTTCCGCATTCCAAGGCTCCTCCAATTTCATTTGCCCCTCTACAGTGCCAGGTCCTGGGGTAGGCAGGATGTGGATAGGAAGGGGCTTTCCCCACAGGAGTGAGAGACCTTGGTGGGGGCACAGATGCCTCCCTCAGGACTAGTGTAACCACCTCCTACCACAGAGAGTTTGGCCCAGGGCCCACCAGTCAGTCTGCTGGTTAATGTTTGCCCTTTCTCTCTCCCTTAGGGCCCCCGTGCTGCCTGGGCCTTGTACCAGTTGAAGAAGTGGACAGTCCTGATTCCTGCCGAATGCGTGGAGGAAACTGGTGTCCCCAGCACCCCGCAGGGGCCTATGTAGGACAGGATCCTGGGATGCAGCTCTCCTCCAGCCCATCAGTGCCTGTGTCTTTTGAAACACCACCTCCCACAATTTAAGCAGAAGTCAACATCCCAAAAAGACTATATTGTGGGTTTTTTTTAAAGAGAGAGAGAAAATTGGTATTTATTTTTCTATTATAGCCATATTTATATATTTATGCACATGTAAATAAATGTATATGTGTTTTTATAATTCTGGAGCGACCCAAGGAATCCTCCTCCCTGTTGACGTACATAAGGGAAATACAAGCCACGACTACGTAACCAGAGTCAACCAAGAAAGTAACAGGGACTCCTCACAGGCCCCGCAGCTCCTGGGCTTCTTTGAGGCCCACAGACGAACTCATAGGAGGCTGGACCCTAGCACACTGTTGGTGAAAAGCACCAGCAAAAAGCAAGGGCCAGGGCGTCACAGACTGGAGACACCCAGAAGATGGTGGGGGCCGGTGGCAAAGGCAGCGTTTCCTAAGATGCCGTGAAAACACACTAAGAGATGTACAGCACCGTAAGCATTAACAAACCTTCCAGAATCAATAATCTGTGGCAACATATCTCTGTAAAAACAAACACTGTAACTTCTAAATAAATGTTTAGTCTTCCCTGTAACCTTCCACTTAGTCATGGGTGAGTCAGCATTTTCTCTGACGGTTAGAATTCAGTCTTTGAGAAGCTGAAGAAAATGCCCAGTTGTGATATTTTCAGAGCCGGCAAGCTCTGGAAACAGTGGTGGATGGTTTTCATTTTTCTTTTTGGCCTTTTTAAACATTGAATGCCAGTTGTGTTTTGATTAATGCGGAATGTATTAGTAACTGTTTACTCTCAGAGGGAGACATTGTACACTAGGCCAAGAGAGGTGGATTCACAGTTCTGCTGACTGGATTTGAGGTGAAGCTTTGGTCATATGGAAGGAATGGAATTAATCCTTTTTATGTAGGTGGGCGTGTGTGTTGAAGACCAAATATTTCCTCCAGAATACCATTTAGCTAAGTGCTGTGCTACATGTGAACATACAACGCCTGATAAAGCCACTTCCTTCTCTCTAAAGGTACACCAGCCAGCATTGCTGGAGCCGTTGACTCACTTGTTTAAAATCAACATTTACTTACTCTTGTCCGACCAAACGATCAGCCACAGATTCTTGAAATTTAAAAACTTGTCTGTGTGGAAGAGAGATTTTCGAAAAATTTCCTGAGGACTAATGGAGAGCTACTGCTCAAATGGGGCTGTGAAGCTGATGATGAAAGTGTGCACACTTTTTAAGGTCTGACGGGTGGGAGATATTTTGTAGATTGAAGCAAAACTGAGTTGTAGCTGAAATGCCATTTGAGACAATCTTAAGAATTGTGCCAGATTTTTTTTCTTTTTGTGGTGATGGGGATTGAACCTAAGGCGTTGCATATGCAAAGCAGGTGCTGTAGCACTGAGGTAGAATGAATATGATGGGCGCTGTCCCAGGAAAGCCTGGGGCTTGGGTGTGGGAGGTGGGAGTTCCAACATTACTGGGTCTGGTGCACCCCCTGCTGGCCAGAAGTCTCACACTTGCTCTTCCTTGAACTTGCATCCTTTTAACTTAACAAATCGCTAAATGTGAAAAAGAATTCTCATTGAACCACAACATGGATTTTAGGAAAGATGTATTTTTTAAAACACTGAAATCATTTTAAGGAACATAGGACAGGAAAGGAGCAGAGTAGGTAAGAGAAAAAGTAAGATGCCTGGGATTTCAGACACAGCCTCGCAGCCAGGGCCTAGAAGTCACTTCTAGGAGAAGGCAGACCACTGTTCAGGGCTTTGCTTTCCAGGCACCCTCAGATCAAAGCTGCTGCTCACCTGCCAGCCCCCTGGAGGCTTTTAAAGACCTCCCTTTGTTTTTTCCTTGATGATTTAAAATAATTACCAGAGTGGATTTTGGTGAACTCTATTGAAACAATATATGAAATACCTGTTTTCTAAATAGCATTGGAATCATGAAAATGTAGAATGATTTTTAGCTCAAAAAAAGCATGAGTCCCGAGGAAGGAAAATCACTTCTGAGACACATTAAATGGCATGTGTGTACATTCATCTTACCTAGTTGCAGGAAAAAAGGAAAAAGGACACTAGGCTTTAAATGTCAGCCCTGAAAACGAGGCAGTTTAGCTGTTCAGTTCCATTGCACTTTTATTTTTTTAGACTGAAATTTTGGATATGGTCTGTCATGAAAACAGGGCACTAATAGGAAGAGTGAGACCTGGTGGGTGGTGCGGAGCGCATTGCAGGCCACAGACTTCCGAGAGCTGAACCTCTGATGGGATCGGTAGCCTTGGCGGGAGTGAACACCACCTTTCACCAAGCTAACATAGGGGCTGGACTTCACAGTCTCTTTTGTTCGGAGCTGAGTTTCAGTGATACTACAGAGTTCAAAGTCCCCAAGTTAGCCCGGCATAGTTCTGCATGTCTGTGATGCCAGCACTCTGGCAGGCTGGGGTAGGAGGAGTCCAAGTTCAAGCCCAACCTAGGCAACTTAGCAAGAGCCTGTCTCAAAGCAAAATAAAAAGGACTGAGAAGGTGGCTCGGTAGTGGAGCAGCCTTAGGTTTCATCTCCAGTTCCAAAACCGTATGTGGGCAAATCCTCCTGACAGTCTACAAGTGACACAAGCTGGTAGATAGTTTTGCCTCTGATGTCAGGCTGCTTTGAAGCTGTAAAGAACAGCTCCCCAATCAAGGGAACAGGACAGCTTTCTACCCTTCTCTTCCCCGGACTGCACCCTGGTGTTCTCACTTTGTTTGAAGCTTCCCAAAGACTCAGGTGTTCATACGTAATTATAGATTCAAGACCATAGCTAGAATCAAGAAAAAATGAAACTAAAGATATTGATAAAAGCCTTATGCAAATTAAAGATACATTAATCAAGTGTTTTTATCTGTGGCTCAATGAAAGATAAAATAAGTGTTTTTAATCTGTGTTGTCAAATTCCAAGCATGGTGGATGAAGCCCTGCATACTGTAGATTTAACTAATGATTTAGTCTAGCTCCAGCTGGGAGAAAAAAACAATCCTGATTAGTTTCACTTCAAGTCAAAATCTGCATACAATCTTTGACATGGCTCTTTTAGACTAAATTTGCTGTTCCTGCAATTAAATTCCAGAATTTCAGAAGAAAAAAGAGCTCAGAGCTTATCTAAATTCTGTGGCCCAGGAAGATGACATAACTTGTGGCTCTGACAACTAGGAAGAGGGGAGTATTTCCTCAATACCTTTCTTCAAACCCATCAGTTGCTCCATGTGGTAGCTGGCCTGACAGTGGGGAAACCATTCCCCACTGGTTTCCCAGTCTGTTCAGTGGCTACCACATCACAACCAGGTTGGTCATTTGTAATCGTGACCGTCTATCACTTCTGAGGTTGGGCTCTAAAAGGCTGTGGCTCCCACACCCCAAACTCTTTTCCCACTCTCTTCCTCAGTCTTGGGTCACTGGCCCTGGAGAAGTGATGTCATGAGCAAACCCTGTGGAGAGGCCCATGTGGTGAGTGTCACATGGCAGCAGCCCCAGCTAACAGCATGACTGCAACTCCAGAGAGACCCTGAGCCACGGATGCTAATCCCAATTCCTGACCCCTAGAAACACTCTCAGCCCTAACCTAAGTTCAATGATAAGCTGTTTTCAGATAAATTTTGGGTGATTTTCCACCCAGCAATCAAATAAGATAAAACAGTCAGAGCTGTGCTTAATACATTTTTAAAAATACTTGAAAGGCACCTAGAGTCAGGCATACAGCATAAGAAGATATTCTCCAGTCAAGAAGCCACTGTATTCAAGATTTAAAGTGGCAGGTCAACAACAGGTCATTCTGACTTCTTAAATAGGAATGTGAAGGAATCCTGGATGATAAGCTGAGTAGCTATGTCTAGGAGTATTCCAATATACAGAGAAGGCAAGTCCTGTGTATAATTTGAAGGGGCAGCTTTAGCAGACTAGCCACAAATTAAGAGTGCTTGACATTGCAGTTTGTTTATACATTTATGAGATACGGTTATCGCCTTCTTCCACTTTCTTCCTCATCGAGGAGTGAATGTTCTGGGACAGGCTCCAGTGAGTAGCTCGGTAGTGCAGACCCATAGGTATCTGACTGCAAACTGCCACGCTCTACTAAGACACCAAGTGTCAGTGAGGCCGCGCTTCAGTAGCAGTGGCCATGAATTTCATGGAAACTTACTCTCCAAACCAAAAGGCTGAAAATATTATCTCAAAAGTGATTCTCAGAGATGGCAATCTATTTCAGTTCTTTCTAATCTATATCGAAACCAGCTAAAGACTCAATATAACCTGAAAGAAAATTGGCACGGGACATGAGAAACCATAAGGAATATTTAGAATATTGATAAACTTCCAAAAGTCTTCAGAGAAAAGCTGCCTTCGTCCTTTGGTGAAACACGTTCCTCTGTTCCACTCAGAACATGGGAGTTTACAAAATGTGTGAGTGATTCAAGAAGCTGGTTTATTTCCTGCTTTCTGTCAACTCAAAGCAGACTGAAGGAAACTGTTTTGCTGCCTGCATTTCTTGAATCCTGAGCTCACATAACTGTTTTATGAAGTCAACAATACCAAGTTCTAATTTCCGTTCTTATTCTAAGATACTGTTGGCAAAATAATTTCTCTTGTGTTCTCTCAGAGAATATTTATGAAAACAAAGGTTATTTTCTAAGGATTCAAGGACCAAGAAAAGTAAATTTTCTTTTTTTTTTTTTTTTGGTCTTTTTCTTTTTTATCGGTACCGGGGATCAAACTCATGACTGCCTGCTTGCAAGGCAGGCGCTTATGCCGCTGAGCTAAACCTCCAGCCCTGAAAAGTAAATTTTCAAATGGATGACTGAACAACTTTTTCTTGCCAATGGCTAAAAATCAAAATTATCTGAAAAATAAAATTTCCCCAAACAAAATATACTACAGATACTTTTTTGGAATTATGAGATACTGTCTTGTGAGATTTCATATCCAGTCCCTTGGCTGTGTGGTCCAGATCAATGATAATTAGATAGCTGCTGCCCTCCGTTCTAACTAACCAAGTTGGAGAAAAATTATTAAGAACCACATGACAAGATCTGGTTTCAGACTTTTAGAGAAGTTCACTTTAAAACAGGATGATTGTAAGTGACAAGAAGACAGAATTTGTAGTGAGCATGTTAGAAATCTTAGGTGGATTTGAGAAAGCAGCAAACTTAAAAGGTCCATGGGCTTCATTCATTCTGTGCAGACTGAATGGGTGGGAGGAGAAGCCCTCCTTTCTTACGCAAAAGGGCAATCTCTTCCTTCAATGCCGAAATTTTCTCTGCCTGGGCTTGGATCAGTTCAGTGATCTGCTTTCTTGCCACAATATCTGCTTTCCGAGGGCCCTGGAAGGCATTGCCCTGTTGGAAGAAAACACATTGGTATTTAAAGTATCATTTGGAGTGTGAAAAATCCTCCTGTCCTTATGTATCTATTAGGAGTGCTGATCTTACAGTCAGTTGACAGACTACTGCTCCTTAATTTAAAGGGCCTTCTATGCTAAAATCCTACTATCAGAAATGTATGCCTTTGGACAAATGAACAACTTTTAGGGTGCAAATCCCCTTTGGAAGAGTAG